GCCACCACTGTCCTGCTTTCTGAGTCTCCTCCCAAATCCACGGCATTATGGAACACTGTGACAGCTTCTCCCTTTCCTCTCCTCTCGGCATTTCATAGCGAACGACAAACCAAACCCCACCGGCGTGTGGCTCTTTGTATTTTCCAAAAGTGGCCTTGCCATTTTTTCCAGGCCAGAGACTCCTCCAGAACCTTGCTCTGCTCCGGCAGCATATGAGGCCCCTCCTGCCTATGAACCTGCATGGGACTGCTGATCCCCTGCCAGGCGAAGGCCACACAAGGGACGCTGGGTGGCTTTTGGGCCCCATGGCCCCCACAGCCTTCTCTCTCAGCCTTATGGTGCTCACGGTGAGGAGGCCGGCCGTGGGCTGTGGGGCAGCACCAGTCAGCCCAGAATCGCACATGGAAAGTCCCACTTGGAAAGGCCCACCAGGAAGGGAACTTTCGGAGCTGGCAGCCACCACCAGCCGCTGACCCGAGCACCGACCTCGGATGCCTCCTGCTGAGGCCCCGACACCATGAGGCAGCTGAGGCAGCCTGCTGTGGCCTGTCCATACCAGTGACCCACAGAACCAGTGGGTGTGATAAGTGTTTGTGCACACCACAGAGTTTGGGGTTCCTTGTTCCACAGCCTGAGCAACTGGAACAAGTTTTATCAGTGGAGGGAAGCAACCCAGGGGACAAGGATGGAAGCAAGAATTCTCTGAGAGCAACTGGCTTGTGCATTTTACTGGAACGGTGTAAGAAGTTTAATATAGTTATGAAATACAGTTTAGTTCTTAAAAAGGCAACCCTCGTAAATGAAAGCAAAGTGGAAGAAATGGATGTAACTGCATATTGGGTAGTTGCTTCACCAAAGGGAGAATTACTTCACGTAACTTTAAAACACAGGGACTTGAAATAATACACGTGACCTAATGTGGCCTTAGTGAGATGCATCTGAAGGCAAAGGGGCTGCAAAGCCCCTCAACTGCTTCCAGGTTCCTCCTCTTAGTAAGTAAGTACACAGGGCTGTTACTGTGGAACCAAATACACAAAGTACACGGACCAAGTAAGGACTGATGGGAATGCTACCAGGGATGTTTTAAGTATGAGAGAAAGACAATGCAGAAACAAAATTAAAGAAATTAACAATGAAAAGTTCTGTCATGCTAACTAAGTCTGGATGGTAAATATCCATATGAACCCATGATATATTTTCTGTAAAAAGAAAAACAAGACCAGCCAAAGAGAAAGCATTATTCCTGAGCTCTATCAGAGCAGTGAGCAACCAGCTCAGCCCCATGCCAGGACTGTAGTCTCTAATGTGAATTTTCACTTCAAGGAACCAGGGCTCCTGGGGAAATGGCTGCCTCCATGCTGGAGAAGGAAATGCTCAAGGGGATCCTGGGATGAACACGTGTCCCATCAGAAAGGACGGTGGCTGTGCAACCCTGCTGGGGCCACATCAGGCCCCAGAACTGGACTTTGAGGGGCTCCAAACAGCAAAACGGAATGGTTTTTGAGCAGCAAACAGAGTAACTGCAATGGATTGAAACATACCAAATATATTGAAATCCATGAATGCTTAGTGATACCCAACCCCTCTCCCCCAGCCCGCATGCGTGCGCATGCACACACACACACACACACACACACACACACACACACACACACACCCTCATCAGTCATCCTTAGGGACCACAAAGGAGCCAGCTCATGACTGAATACTTAGGAATACCGAGTAAGCATCACTCGACTATTCTTCCCTTCCTATAGGGAGGGCACCTCAGGTTGATCAAATATTTGATGAGCAAAGTTCTCCTCTGTAAAATTCCAGCTAAAGAATGAAGGGTAAGAGTATTACGATATTACCATTTTGCCTCCCAAAGTAAAATGACAAGTCTGAGCGATAATCATCGACAGAAGCTAAACTGCTGGAGGAGCAAGAAGGAAACCTAGCAGGGACAGATGGGCCTGCAGACACCTGATGTGATCATGGCTGGCATCAGAGGGAGACAGCCTGACCTGCTGGTCTGGTCCGCGCCAACAGCGTGCACCCTGGCTTAATGATACCCGCTGAGTTTCTGTGTATTTTGCTTTAGGGCTGTTTGGTGCTATAGCTTTAGGTTTTCTTTTAAAAATTTCCCTTTTCTCATTAAAACATGTTTCTTTTTGTATTGAAATATGTTTTCTTCAGATTCCATGTCAGTTAATATCCATGTTGCTCCTCCTGCCTTATTTTGGTAGCAGGAATCCTGGGTTCTTTCTGTGAAGATTTGTTTCCGGAAACCAGAGTCCTGCACTTATTGCCATAGGGTTAGACACAGGCCTGTCCAGTGGATGGAACTAGAAATTAGTTTGGTTTGTCCACGTGTTTGGTTTCTGTTTGTTTTAAAGAAAACACACCATGAATTCATGCTGATGTTTCTGATTCAAATTTAGGTTGAAAGGTCTTTCAGATTTTGTGATTTTTTTTCTTATTTTGATATATTTGCATCTCCCTTAACTCTCAAGCATTTATGTGGCCACAGATTTAAAAAGGGACTCTAGCCTAAATGCTACCTTGCTCCTTCTTTAAAACATATGTAGTCATTAATTTGCCCTTTGCCTTGGGGCTGATTTGGGCCTGGGAAGCTGATTAAAGCATGACATGGTTTACCTGCACCAGATTAAGCTAATGACTCATGACTTGTCTTAACTAGCTTACAGTAAACAGATTCATCACTATCTTAAGAAGCTGTGTGGGGGAGTCACTGCTCATCATTAATACCAACCCTCTGTACATGTCTTCATGTTGTAAGTACATCAAAAGCAGCAGGGAAAAAAGTTAAACATGGTCTCCTGGGGGAGAGTGAAGCCTGCTTCCCACTAGACCAGCAGTGGGAGGGGAGCCCAGCAGCGCACCCAGTAGAAAGGCAGCCATGGGCGTGGACCCAGAAGACCAGAGGCCATGCTTTCTCCCCATCAGTGCTGAGTTGTTCCCACTGAAGTGCTAGCATTTCACTTTAGCATCCCTGCTGGGAGCTGCTGCTTCCACTGTGCTTCAGATCCCACCCACTGAAAATGTGCAGCCTGGGCCTACAGTTAATAACAGGGGGCTGTATGTTTGGAAGTTGCTAAGAGGGTAGATCTCCAAAGTCCTCATCACAAGAAAAGAAATTACAACTATGCGTGTGGATGGATGTCCACTAGACTTATTCTGGTGGTCACTTCACAATACATACAAATATGGAATCATTATGTTGTACCTGAAATTAATATAATGTTATATGTCCATTATACCTCAATGAAAAAGAAATCCTATCCATTCATCAAAACACAGCTCATGTTTCATCTTTTTCTTGAAACTTGACCTCCTCCATCTAACCTTTCCAGTTCCTTATCTGATCATTTCTCTGCAGGCAGAAGCCACTGAAAATATGCTCTGAGATACTGATCTCACCACTCTTTAACTCATAATTATAAACTCTGGACAGAGCTGTGTCTTATAATTCTTGCAGGTCACTGCTGTGCTGTGGCTAGGCAGGTGTGCAAAAGGCACTTGCTAATTGACTGTTTTAGTCCAGTTCATCCACTCAGCCAAAAGCAGATATCTTATATGCCTTTATATGCCTAAAACATTCCAACTTAGACTTATAAAACAATTTCTGGATTAGAAAGCAGTTTCCTTAAATTATCGTATTTAGTTCTAACAACACTGTAGGTGGACAGAGCAGGTGTGTATGCCCACGTCTGAGGACCAAGCAGTTCAGCAGGTGTTAAAGGAGGCAGCTTGTCAGTGGGTGAGCCCTGGGTCCTGAGTCCACATAGACTCTTCTTCCTCTTACCCCATAGTAGTTGTAGAGAAGATGTGAGAAATGTTACTTAAAACTTGGAAATAATGTAAAAAGATACTTACAGGTCCTCCCAATGTCATCCTAGACAGCCTTTCACAGGCCACCCAGCAGTTACTTTATTCTCAAACTTTTGGGTCTCAAAATCCCTGATGCCCTTAAAATGAGGATTCCAGAGAACTTTTATTTAAATGTGTTATATTTAACTCACTGAATATTTATCTCATTGAAAATTAAAACCAAGAACATTTAAAATTTTTATTGATTTATAAATAATAAGCCCATTATATAGTAACATAAATAGCCTATTTTTAAAAATAAAATTACTACATTTTCTAAAACAAAAATGATTTAATGAGAAGATGGCATTATTTTTACCTTTTTGCACATCTCCTTAATGTCTGGTTTAATGGGAGAAAAATCAGATGATTATAGTTGTTTCTCCTGGGTTCAGTCTGTTGTAACAGGTTGCTTGGTTAAAGTTTATAAAGAAAATCCAGCTCCTCAAAGATACATAGTTGGAAACGGGAGAGAGAATTTTTATAGCCTTTAAGATTCAAAAACAAAACTCTAAAATTTGTAAAAGATTACCTGCAATGTAGAATCTGAAATTGTATCAATGAGCTTTTTGTACTCTGTTACCTTAGAATCCATTGCTCTGGAATTTGGAGTGATCTTTTGTCCACATGTACTAGCCCGAATAATGGTCCTGAAAGGCACCTGCACCTATTTCTGTGAACCTGGGCATATCCCATCTTCTGTGGAAAAGTGATGTTTGCCAATGTGACTGTTAGGGACATGGAGAGGGAGATGTAACAAGAAAAGAGAGAGACGCAACATGAAAAGGACTCAGCCCACCATTGCTGGCTTTGAAGATGGAAGGATTCCACCAGCCGAGGAATGTGGGGGTCTCGAGAGACTGAAAGATGCAGGGGAGCGGACTGTCCCCTGGCACCTCCAGAATGGAATACAGCCCATGCGACACCTTGATCTTAGCCCAGGGAGACCCATGTCTCTCTTTGGACCTACAGAACTGCAAGAACAGGTCGTGTTGCATAAGCCATCATGTCGTGGTGGTTTGGCACAGCAGCACTGTTACCTATGCTGTGTAGGGCAGCAGCATCATGCACCTGTCATTCAGAAAATGATGGTTACTGAGTCATATGCAGATTTCTTCAATGTTGGCATGTTTCATTGTGTGATAGCAAAGAATCTTCATTAATATCACACTGACCTCATCAGAAAACTCTTAAATATTAGTAAGTTTTCAAGTACCCATGGCAGATACCAGCTTTCCAAGATTTTCACTTGAAAACTCCAACTTTATAATTGGCAACAAATATTGTCATTTGTTTTCCTTGAAGCAACAAACTTTTTCAAGTAAAAACAGCCTTGTGGCTGGCCTCTCAGCCCCAGGGCAGTGTAGGGGACAGCACACTATTCCCTCAGCCCAACGCCCCCTAATACCACCCACTTTCTCTCCCTGGGCATTAGAAAGCTGGCAGCATCAAGTCTAATGAAGGTACTACTCTGTACATCTTCACCAGGACTTTAGTATTGAACTGCCTTTTCTCAAAATTCATTTTAGTTTAAATTTAATTCTATTTCCTAAATAGCTTTTTATGTAACTAAACATGATATATTAAATAGATGAGTAGTGAATAAAAGTGACCCTCAGGGTCAGGGCTCATTCCCAGCATGGTTGACACCTTGGGCCAGATGATCCCTTGGGTGGGGGGTTGTCCTGTGGCCCGCAGGATGCTGAGCAGTATTGCAGCTTCTCCCCCCACATGCTAGGAGCACCCCCAGGTGAGAGCGAAATCTCTAGATCCTCTCTCTGGCTTCTGAAGCTCCTGGTGCCTCCCTCTGACCCAGATTAGGAAGCCAGCCAGCCGTGGCTGGTGTCTGACTGCCCCCTGGCAGGGGCCTCTGAGGGTCACTCTCACACTTTTAAAAGTTTTCAAAGCCTGAGAATGTGTTTGTAAGTTAACGTCTACATATTTTTATTGTGAGTTCAAATAATTATAAAGAATATATTTTCTGGTATATGGTATATTGTAGACTTGGTTTAAATGTATTCTATTCAAAGCCTTTAACCTGAAAAGAACTTCTTAAATTTGTGGAGAATGTCAGCCACAAACCTAACCTAGTCCTTGGGACTCAAACCCACCGGTGAACTCAGGCTCGCTCCTGATGAGGAAAGCAGTCTTACCTTCCTAAAGCACGTAAGCCCAGAGGCGCTCTTTGGGCTCACTCACGAGGCAGAAGGGGAATCCCTCCTCTCCAGATTCCTTTTGAAGAAGCGCAGTAATAGAGGAATCCTTGGAAAGTGGGTGTGAGGAAAGCAGTCTCCCACCTCTGCCCCCCTTGCTAAACCTTTGTATCCCCAAGGGTGCACGTAAACTCTGGGCGACCAAACCCGGAGCGGGGACAGCGGCTTTGCTTCTAAGGGCTCCCTGAGGATGCCTTCACATGGTTTATGTTATCAGCTTTCTTATTTCTTTTTTTTTTTTAAGAGTGTTTCATCCTTTATTTTCAAGGAAAGTCTACATTTTATGAAAACAAGCATTTGTTATATCATTGAGTACAGAGCTCACATAGCAAACATTTCACCATTTTTATCACATATCAGATGATCTAGAATCAAAATTGTCTTAACAGGCTTATGTCTTTCACTGCTTCATGACAATCACGTTACCATATTTTAGTGAAACACTCTATCTAGCTTTAAGGTTTCCTTTTGAGTAAAAATGAGACCTAATAATTTTTAACCAAAAATGTGTATATGCTATTGCTTGTAATAGGATCCATAAACGCTATACTAAGACTTAGCATTTAGACATGAAACATGTCTAAAACCTCTGAAGAATACTTTAGAAATAAGCAAGACATCTATAATGCTTTAATCTTTCCGGGTAACACCATTTATATCAGTAACTGCAATGCTGTAACTTTCAGCTTTTCACATAACTAGTCAGGATATATATTTCTTTAAGGGTGGGAGTAAGAACAGAAGGACGAGATACAAGTGTCAGGTTTCACAGTTCTGTTAAAAGCTCAAAAATCAAAACTATTGTCTTCTCTGCATCAAAACTGTGCCACAAACTTGAAGGCTGTTTCAGCTTTAATCCCATGACTCATCACCTACCGGATTGGGAGCTTGTACGAAGAAAACCCTGTTGTGTTGAAAGTGCCCTTGCCCTGGTAATTCTTTCTATTATCAACTGATGCAAACACATTTCCTCTTGTACTACCACTGGGGCTCGGAACGTGTACTACAGGCAATTTCTTCCAACCATGCAGGAACATCCTGTTGAGCATCTGACAATACTTTCACCAGAGGCTGTGCCAAATGGTTATCTGATTCAGGATCAAAAAAGGAAATAGCTCTGCTAGTATTTTCACAGCAACCAGTACGTCCAATTTGATGGACATACTCCTCAATGGTAGAAGGAAGATCAAAATTGATAACATGTTGAACATTTTCAATATCCAGCCCTCTGCCCGCTACTGAGGTAGCAACAAGAACCGGGCACTTTCCACAGCGAAAATCCCATAGACTCTGCTCTCTCTCTCACTGCTGCCAGTCACCATGAATACTTGTTGTTAATATTTTCTCTTGACAAAGAAAACTGGCAATAAAATCTGCTCTTAGTTTCAACAAAAACCATGGTTCTCTCATCACCTGTGGTTAGTAGAATTCCAACAAGTTTCTCTCTTTTTGAGTACTGGCCAACTGGGAGAATGATCTGCTGAACATCTCTACATGCTCCACCCACTTGTCCAACCACAACCAACAAGTAATTCTGCTTCAAAGACTTCCGAGCCAACCTCTGAATTTCTCCTGGAAATGTTGCACTAAACATAACGGTTTGACGCTGCTCCTTTGGTGGCATTCCTGGGCAGGAAATTAACTTTATCATTTCTGGTCCAAAGCCCATATCCAGCATGCAATCAGCTTCATCCAAAACTAAGTATCTGACTTGTCTGAGACCAATCTTTTCTTTGCCTATGATATCCATCAGTCTTCCAGGAGTAGCACACAATATATTACAGCCTTGCACTATCTGACGGACTGAATGCCCAAACTGGGTTCCCCCATATATAGCAACAGCTCTTACACAAGTCCCAAAAGAAAATTTTCTGGCTTCCAAATAGATCTGCTTGATTAATTCTCGAGTTGGTGCTACAATAATGCACTCGGGTTCCTGCAGCTCTTTAAAACGACTGGCAGTTACTCCAGCACTCATGATATGAGCCAAAATTGGCAAGAGAAATGCTGCAGTCTTTCCAGACCCTGTTTGTGCACAAGCTATCAAATCTCGTCCTGCTAGGATAATAGGAATACTGTATTTCTACACAGGAGTAAGCTTAGTATAACCAGCTTTAGCAATGTTGTCATTCAGTGTCTGACAGAGATTAGCTTCTTTAAAAGTCAGAATTGGTGGTGGTGCATTGGGTTCGGATACCTCTACAAGAATACAATTGTATTTGCCAAAGTTTCTCCCTGGTTGATAATGTGCAAAGACGAAGTCCTCATCCTCAGATGGAGGAGGTGGTATATAGGTTACTTTTGGTCCTCGTCGACTTCCTCTGTTACCTCTGCTTTGGTAAGTGTCATCATGACCAGTGTCAGCAAAGAAATGTACTAGAATATACGGACCAGCAATTTTTAAATAGCCCAGAACTCTCCAGAAAGCAAAACGATAAGCTTCTTCAAATTCGTTATTTGAAAAGCCTCTGTTTCCAAAACTCTTTCCAACTCCAAAACCACCCGTTGTGGATGTATTCTCTCTCTTATTAAACGTGCCAGCATCTGTTTCCCAAACTCCTCCCAGAGGCAAATCTCCTTCTCATGAAATGATCTCTTTGAGAAGGTCCATCATCCATTTCTGGTGATGAAGCTGGAGTCCTGTTAGAAGTGTCTCCATTTGCTCCAGAAGAATATGTATCCTTCTTAAATACAGGAACATGAGAATACATAGAAGATTTGATAATTTCTGCTTCCCGGTCTGCATCTCCCATTGTGGCTTCCAGTTCTTTCTGCGGCTTGTTCTCTGGCAACAGCTTTCTTATTTCTTTATGAAGTCATTTACTCATTTTATCAAGGGGTCCCTGGAATGAAAGGAGGGCTCAGGTTACAGCGGCAGCTGGTAGGGTGGCTGGGAACTGTGTCCGTACACAAATCAGAATGTCTGTTTGACAAGGGGAGTTGGCATATGGCTAATGGCTAGGCTCCCTGGGCTGGAGCACTCAGGCTCCAGTGCCAGAATGATGACCCTTCCCTTCATGCTCGGAAGCCCAGGCGTTGGGCTTTGGAAGGAAGTATTGACCTCCTTTGCAGCATTGACCATGGTGGGAAGCACATAAGCCAAAGCCAGGAAGTAGGAGGCTTGTGTTGGGTCAAGAACACTGCTGTTCCCCAAGTTTGCAGAGGTGGCTCATATTGCAGGTTGACAACTGGCTTGTACCTGTGAAAACCTGAAGCAACTTATAAAAAAGGAGACTTTGAATGTGGCTCTGAGGAAAAACTGCTTGGCTGCGAGGGATGTTCACAGTTTGCATCCGCAGAGCACTTGGGGAGGCGAACAGGAGCTGCCTCTTGGGGAGGGTTTGGGAGCTTGTGCACCTGAAATCAGGGGCTGGCCCTGAGCTCTGCTCCTGCTTCCTCCAGCTTGAGGCATCCCTGCATGGAAATAATAAATAATGATTTACTGTTATTGAATATAATAAATAATGGTTTACTGTTATTGAATATAATAATGATTTACTGTTATTGAATATAATAAATAATGATTTAAAAATATATAAAGAGCTCACACACCTAAATAATTAAAAAATTAAACAATTAAAAAATGGGCAGAGGAACTGGACAGTTCTCCAAAAAAGAAATACAGATGGCCAACAGACACATGAAAAGATGCTTCACATCGCTAATTATCAGAGAAATGCAAATTAAAACTACAGTGAGGTATCACCTTACACCAGTAAGGATGGCTGCTATCCAAATGACAAACAACAAATGTTGGCGAGGCTGTGGAGAAAGGGGAACCCTCCTAACACTGCTGGTGGGAATGTAAATTAGTTCAACCATTGTGGAAAGCTGTATGGAGATTCATCAAAATGCTCAAAACAGACTTACCATTTGACCCAGGAATTCCACTCCTAGGAATTTACCCTAAGAATGCAGCAATCAAGTTTGAGAAAGACAGATGCACCCCTATGTTTATCGCAGCACTATTTACAATAGCCAAGAATTGGAAGCAACCTAAATGTCCATCGGTAGATGAATGGATAAAGAAGATGTGGTACATATACACAATGGAATACTACTCAGCCATAAGAAGTGGAAAAATCCAACCATTTGCAGCAACATGGATGGAGCTGGAGAGTATTATGCTCAGTGAAATAAGCCAAGCGGAGAAAGAGAAATACCAAATGATTTCACTCATCTGAGGAGTATAGGAACAAAGGAAAAACTGAAGGAACAAAACAGCAG